TTTTAATTAATGACAATTAATTCTATTCTTCCCAATTCTATTAATTCTTCAATTATGAATTGTGAGTAGTTTAATTAGGGATTGGGATTGATGAAGGGGTTGATCATGATGTATGGCTAGGTTTTGATGGATTAATTGCATGAATGCCGTTTAATTTGTGTTTGAATAATTTAACTGATATCTTTTGTAACCTAGAACGCGCGCTAGAATTACAATTGCTTGTAGAATAAATTAAGAGAGATCTAGTTTATTTTAGGACACATTCACACACACTTAATGGTTCGCTAAGAGATTAGTAGCGATTAAGGGGACGTAAGCTCACTCGTCTTGGCAATAATTTAGGGTCCTGTCGCATGAGAGATCAGCCTGGTCCCCTAATTTATTATACTATACGCCGCGAGAGTGGTAAGAACTTAGTAATGATTAGCTAGGCTCAAATGAATTAATTTCATGTAATTAGGCTTGATCTGCCAGAAATCTGGTTACCCCGGAATCAATCCATGTTCCCTTCGTCATTAATTAGAAAGAACCCCCTAGTTTAATCGTTTTATTCGCATTTTTATTTTCCAACAACCAATCTCGCACGACGCATTTTTATTTATTTCTTTTTAATCGCTGAATTTAGTTGATCTTTGATTCCTTTTTGTCCGTCCCTGTGGAGACGATACTTGTACTTACACCATTATATTACAATCTATTTTAAGTGCGAGAAAACTCACATCAACCAACATGAGGGTTTTGTGGACCATATATTGCCTGACCATGTGTATTTGTTGAAAAAAGCTTTGTATGGTTTAAAACAATCACCTAGGCAATGGAATATTAAATTTGACAAGTGCATGCAATCTTTAAAATTTTCTAAGAGTTCCGCCGATCATTGCTTGTGTTATAAAAATATTTTTATTACGCTATGTTGATGACATGTTAATTGTTAGTCCTTGTTTGAAATTTATTGAGCATGTTTAAAAATCTCTTTGTGAAAAATTTGACATGAAAGACTTAGGTGATGCTAAGAAAATTTTAAGCATACACATTATCAGGGATAGAAAGAGATCTACTCTAGTGTTGAATCAAAGTTCATACATTGATAAGGTTTTAAGTATATTTTCTATGTCCAATGCTAAATCTGTGAATGTGCCTCTTGCTTCTCATTTTGTGTTAAGTAAGGATCAGTCCCCCAAGACTAAAATTGAAATGAATGAATTGAAAAATGTGCCTTATTCAAATGCTATAAGATTTGTCATGTATCTCATGGTTAGTACTAGACCCGACATTGCATATGCGGTTAGTGGTTTAAGTAGATACATGTCTAATCCTCGAATGCCTCATTGGAATGCTTTGAAATGACTTTTAAGGTATTTGAAATATTCTGTGAAAGTTGGTTTGACTTTTTCTAAGTACTCTGAAGGTATTAAATTAATTGGCTATGTTGATTAAGATTATGCTAATGATAGAGATAATAGAAAGTCAACAACTTCTTATGTGTTTACTCTGTGTGGCTCTTGTGTAGGTTGGAAATCCCAACTTCAACCTATTGTTGCTCTATCTACTATTGAGTCTGAGTATGTGGCTGCCACAGAAGCTGTCAAAGAAGCTATTTGGCTTAGAGGTCTTTTGCGTGAAATTAATTTTATGACAGATATGTGGTTATATTTTCTGACAGTCAACCTGCTATTCAATTGTGCACAAATCTTGTTTTCCATGATAGAACTAAGTATATTGATGTTAGATTTCATTATATTCGAGATATTGTTGAACAGGGAACTATAAAGTTGGACAAAATCCCTTCAGAATTTAATCCTACTGACATAGTACTAAATCTTTACCTGTTGAAAATTTTGTTTCGTGTCAAAAGATTTTAAATTTTGATTTTGAATGATTTTTTCTGTGTTGCATCAGTTTACTATTAACTTACTTAGTGTTTGTTAATAGTTTGGTGTGTGTGTCCCTTTGAACTCAATGACCGTTTGGTAGAGTTAAGTTCTTTATGGACTCGGCATGCTTGGTGTGTTGTCCCTTTGTGATCTGAGAATACATGGGGTATTCTTTTATATTACTAGTGTTGTCTTTGCGATAATACTTGTAATAATTCAGCAATGATGAGTTCGTGGTTCCGTAAATTGTCTCAATGCACTACTTTGGGTCAAAGGATAATACTTCTGTTTGATTTTGCATGAACTAAAAACTTTCATTAGAGATTGGCGGTGGAGAGACCCATTGCTTTGTTGGTGCTGGCTTTTTCGTAATATAGTCATCAAGAAATTGTATGAAGTTTAGAATTTGCTTATACCTCTAGAGTTGTATTCCCATTTGCTTTTCTCCTTTCAGTTGTTCAAGTTTGCTTTACTTTTCATTGACTTATCATTAACAAAAGCACAAATTCGATTGAATAAATATCACTCACACATGTATATATGGATAAGATTATTGCTAGTAGGCTCAAAACTTCTAGTGAAAGAAAAGAGGCAGAAGGATCAAGTGGTGTTTCCTTGAAATGAGGTTAGTATTTATAGGAAAAATTGGATGATCCTTTCCAAAGAAGTATTTATTGGATTGAATAAATATCACTCACACCTATTGCTTTTATATAATGATAGATTGGGTCAGCCTTAGCCCCCGATTCATGTAAGTTTGTTGATTTAGTTACTTTGTGTTCATGTGTTTGAGGATGTATGTCTTCTTAAGAGGTTTTGACTTAGTTTCTCTATCGGTTTGAATGTTTTTTATTTTTATTAATAAAAATTGATAAATGTTTCCCGTCATTCCCCCCACTATGTATGCTTTGCCTACTAATATAAAAAAAAGTTTATATTTAATCTTCTTTATATTGAAGAAAATGTGTAGTCAAAGTGAATCATCAAAGGGTGTACTACCTTCGTCCCATAATTTAATTCCGTAGTACAAATGACACACGAATTAAGAAAATTGGTTTTGTGTGGTGGATAGTTGCGCAGAGGAAAAAGAAAAGTAGCATTTTTGGAAGTAACGTCTTTCGAAATTGAAATTACCTTTTGTTTGTGGAAACCGGAAAGGTAGCATTTTTTCTCAAAAGTTATCGCCTTTCTCCCGCCATTCGATCATCTCTGTCGCTAACGTATCAGAGGGTTGTTCACACCTGGCGATATCGATCAACAAGCTAAGGGTGTATATTTATATATATATCCGGCAGTACATGTCCAAATCAATATTGAAATTCAAATCGAAGAAGTAGCCGGCCGGGAATGAAGAAAAAGAAATTATCTTAAATAGGATTAAAACAATAGGAAAATTCCAAAATAGGAGTCTTAGTTGATATATTCTCTAAATAGGAGTTAATAAGATGTTCGGTAGTTTCATCTTTACCTATCTTTACAATTATACCCTTCAATATATTATCCTTAATAACCACTCCCCGCTATCTCCTCTATCTCATCGTCTGAGGCTTCACACTCATCACCGTAGCTTTTCCACTGACTCACTCCTTCATCCTCACTCCTTCATCTTTATCCCTCGCATCTTTAATTTCATTTCTCTAAATTCTCCTAAGGTGAAAGGCGGCGAAGTGCGGTATAATTGCTGGAGATAGGTAAGTATTGATTTCTCCTTCTTCTCTATCTTCTTCATCACCTTCTTCTTCTACTTTCTTCCTTCACCATCTCTGTGTTTATTATGTGTATCTTGTCAAAAAAGAGACCTTGAAGATACATCAACATATAAGGCAGTGAGTGATTTGATTAGATTATGCTGTGAATTGCTATCGAATTATTTTCATTTGCGCTTTGCAGTTTATTATCGATTATTTTATATTATTTTATTGGATTATGTTGTAAATTTTTTTTGGTGTGATTTATCATTTATCCAGATGATGAAGCCTCTCGCTTTGGACATAACCGCAATTCGTCTTTAATTTTTTTTACTTCATTCCAATCATTTTTTATTTAATTTTGAACTTTATTAGGTTATTTATGATTAATCTTAAGTCCCAAAGTTTCAAAATTATGGTGTTATTTTTCAGTAACCACAAATGATTTGAACATTGATTTCAAATTAATATCATTTATATTTACATTTAGCAGGATGACAATTTTTTTACCTCGACATGGCAATATTGTTCACCTTTCGTATTTTTATAATAATAAAAATGGCAAATATTGCTTATAAGGATAGTAAGATGGCATTATTACTTTTTACCCTGACATGGCAATATTGTTTATCTTTTGTATTTTTATAAGGATAGTAAGATGACATGACAATTTGTTCTACTCTTCTTTCCAGGTCAGAGATCTAAACTCAGATCTGGAGTGGTTGCTCCATAGAAGGTTGCAGCCGGTGTTGTAGAGTGTGTTGTAGAGTGACGGTGGCGTTGAATTAGTTGGTGGTGACACCGGATGAGACATCGGCAATGGACGGTGATGCCGGTAGAGCATGAGATGTTGATGGCGGTGGTGCCGGAGAAGGCGGCGGCGCCAGTAACGGCGGACATGGCGGCAGTGCCAGAGATGGCAGTGGCGTCGGAGATGGCAGCGACGTCAATAATGCTTGAGATGGCTACTGCCTTGTGTGAAGCATATGTCATGTATTGTGCGATGCCTCTCCTATATGTAACTGTAAACTTTAATTTTGTTATTTTATTTTGTATTATTAATAAAGGAATCAACTTTTTCATTAAGGGCATATTTGTCTCTTACTATTAACTTCCGTGTGTCAAGCTATAGATGGGATAGGACTCCTATTTTTGTGTTGTTGATATGTTTTAGTCCTAAACTGGGAAGGTAGATTCTATGGTACCCATAAGGTACCATACTTTTGTCCACATGGACCAATGAAAATGTAGCAGTTGAATTATTTAAATTTAAATTAAAAATTATAAAGTGGTGTGGTCCAATCAAATTAATGACAGGTACGATACCCCATTTTTTAGAAAGGTACCGGAGTTGTCACCGACTGGGAATTCTCTCATGAAGAAATGCTGGGCGTCAAGATCAACTATCCTCCTATTGCTTGCTGCCTTTGCGGTCACGGCGGCGGCTGAACTCTCTTCCCCTGACGCCGGTGTGATGCTAGAGCTGAGGAAGAGTCTTAATATTACCGATGATTCCTTTTGGAATGTGGAGTACGAGCCGTGCGGATGGGCAGGCGTGACTTGCGGAATGAATGATACCCGGGTTGTGCATCTCGTCATCAAGAATCTTACCCTCATCGGAACTCTGCCGGAAAGTCTCGGAAAGCTCACCAAATTGATCACATTTGATGCCGGATATAACATCATCTACGGCCCACTTCCGGACTTTAACGGGTCGGTCGAGCTCAGTACCCTCATCGTTGACTTTAACCAGTTGTCTTCAATCCCGGAAAGTCTTTTCCACTCGAAGCCTAACCTGAGTTTCGTTTCTCTCAACTACAACACTTATCTCCTCCCGTGGAAGATCCCAGAAGGTCTAAAAAATGCTACAAACCTCAGGCATTTCTCCGCCTTCTATTGCAACATTTACGGGCCCTTCCCGGACTTCTTCACCGGCGACAATTTCCCGGGCTTGGCGCACCTTCATTTGGCGTACAACAACTTTTCCGGTCAGGTCCCTCAAGACCTGCCGGGATCTCTGGAGACCCTGTGGCTGGACCACCAGGGTGACACCCACTCATTGTCAGGCGACATTTCTTTCGTACAGAACTTGACCCGGCTCACCAGCCTTTGGCTGAACGAGAACCAGTTTTCCGGCGAAATACCCGACTTATCCGGCCACCAATTCTTGGAAGAATTCGTGATGTGCTGCAACAATCTAAGCGGTTCAGTGCCGGAGTCACTGTCGAACATTTCTTCACTGCTACGAGTGGATTTATCGAAGAATAAACTTACGGGGTCCTATCCCTGGAAACAACACAGGAGATTTTCCCAACCTTAATAAATTGGATGTTTCTAACAATGATCTTAGCGGCCAGGTCCCTCGATTTGGTCCTAGTGTGACGACATTGACATTATGTGGGAATAAACATTTATCGGATGAAAGAGGGAAGCCATGTTGAGAGCATCGATCTTAGGATGATGATGATGGATGATGTTCGTGTTTTCATGTCTTCTTTATTATACGGAGTAATAAATTTGTGTTAGAAAATAGAAGAGGTTGTTGGTTGTATGAGTAGAATAAGTGATTTTAGTGAGGTGTAATGTAGATGATGTGTTTTAGAGGAGAGCTCTTGTCTCTAGAAAAGTAGTATTGTATTGATGTTTATTGGTTTTTGCTTGGTTTGCAAATGAGTACAATGAGTCCTATTTATAGGAGCTAGAGGATCATTCTAGATCCTTATTAAATGCTATGATTCTAGAGTATTCTACATCTATGTCTAATTATTCTAGATTTTACATAAGAATTCTCTAGAATACTTTCTAGCTTTAACTCTCTAGATCATCTCTAGCCTTTTCTACATAGAATATTCTAGATAAATGCATCACTATTTAATACTCCTCCTTGATGCATTTGTCGGTGACTCCAAGCATTCTTCGCAGAAACTGGAATCTGTCTCTTGGCAGGGCCTTCGTGAAAATATCTGTCAATTGTTCTTCTGTTGGGCAGTACTTCATCTCAAAATGCCCCTTTGCTTGGACATCTCTCAAGAAGTGATACTTGATATCGATGTGCTTAGTACGATTGTGCTGAATTGGATTTTTAGCCATCGCAATAGCTGACTTGTTGTCGCAAAATATTTGAGTCGCAGAACTTTGCAATTCTCCCATGTCTTCTAATATTCTTTTTAGCCATATAGCCTGGCACGCTGCTCCGGCTGCTGCAACATACTCGGCTTCGGCTGAAGATAGTGCAACAGAATCTTACTTCTTTGATCCCCATGAGAAAATTCCCGAACCCAGCTTAAATGCGTAACCGGAGGTGCTTTTCATGTCATCTTGAGATCCAGCCCAATCACTGTCACTATATCCAGTTAGTCGTGAGTCAGGAGTTGTTTTGTACCAAATACCATAATTGATGGTTCCTTGTAGATACCTAAGGAGTCTCTTTGCCGCTCCATAATGAGTCTCAGTTGGAATTTCCATGAACCTCGAGAGCAAACTTGTAGCATACATGATATCCGGCCTCGTAGCCTTAAGTAGAGTAGACTCCCAATCAAACTTCGGTAATTGGTTGCGTCTGTCTGCTTTGAACCATCTTCTTTCTTCAATTTTTCATTAGGAACCAGTGGAGTAACGACGGCTTTGCAGTCTTGCATTTTAAACTTCTTTAGCATGTCTTTAATATATTTTTCTTGAGATAAGAATATGCATTCTTCTTCTTGACTTATCTCCATGCCAAGGAAGTAGTGCATTAATCCCAAGTCACTCATCTCAAAAGTGTTCATCATGTCTCTCTTAAATTCTTCAATTAATTTGGAATTATTTCCCGTGACAATTAAGTCATCAACATATAGAGAGACGATGAGAATGTCAGATTTACCTTGGGATTTGATGTATAATGTAGCCTCGTTCTTACTCCTCCTGAACCCTTGACGGGTGAAGTATCCATCAATCTTGCTATACCACGCTCGTGGAGCTTGTTTGAGCCCGTAAAGCGCTTTCTTTAGACGAAGAACTTTTCCTTCTTCTTTGATGAATCCTTCTGGTTGCTCCACATACACTTCTTCTCGTAGCTCTCCATTTAGAAAGGCTGACTTGACGTCTAGCTGATAAATTTTCCATTTCTTCTGAGCAGCAAGAGCTATGAGTGTTCTTATTGTGTCCATCCGGGCAACTGGTGCAAACGTCTCTGTGTAGTCAACTCCCGGTATTTGAGCATACCCCTTTGCAACCAGCCTTGCCTTATGCTTCTGAATTGAGCCATCGGGGTTCAATTTTGTTTTATACACCCATTTGACTCCAATAACCTCCTTGTTATGTGGAAGATCTACCATTTTCCAAGTATCATTCTTTTCTATCATTTTGATCTCCTCCTCCATTGCTTTAATCCAAACTTTTTCTTTGGAGGCTTCGGTGTAGCTATATGGCTCCAAGGAGCAAAAGTTGCATGTTTCATAGATGTCAGTAGACTCATATAGGTCTGCTAGAGTTCTTACCCGAAGAGGTGGGGACTCTGGCGAGGAGTCGTGATTTCTTGATGTATTAGCTTCAAAAGAGGATCTTGGAGTAGACGTGGGGCTTTGTTGATCGTGATTTTCCTCTTCTGGTATTTCCTCTAGTTGGACAGTAGTTGTCTTTCTTTCAACTTTTTCTGTCTCCCAATTCCAAGAGGCTTGCTCGTCAAACTCCACATCTCGACTTGTCACCAACTTCTTTGTCTCGAGATTGTAGATTCGATATCCCTTGGATTTGGATCTATAGCCAAGGAAGATGCCCTTCTTTGTCTTGTCTTCTAATTTGTGCCTTTTAACAGAGGGAACATGAATGTAGCATATGCTTCCGAAGACCTTCAAATGTTTGGCTGAAGGCTTTTGTCTAGACCATGCCTCAATAGGTGTTTTGTTTAAAACCGCCTTAGTTGGACACCAGTTTAGAAGATAGACTGAAGTATATACTGCCTCTGCCCAGAACGTTTTAGGCATTCCTTTTTCAGCTAACATAGACCTTGCCATCTCCATGACTGTGCGTTTCTTCCTTTCGGATACCCCATTTTGTTGTGGAGTGTATGCTACTGTTAGTTGATGCTCTACACCTTCATCTTCACAGAACTTGTCAAATTCTTTTGAGTTGTATTCGGTACCTCGATCGCTTCTCAACTTCTTGATTTGATGACCACTCTGTTTCTCCACGAAGTTCTTGAATCTCTTGAATATTCTAAAGACTTCGGATTTTTCTTGGAAAAAATACACCCATGTCATCCTATAGTAATCATCGATGAAGAGTATGAAGTACCTGTTCTTCGAAACTGAAGGCGTGCGCATTGGACCGCAGACATCGGTGTGGACAAGCTCTAGTATCTGTTTGGCTCTCCATGTCTTTTCTGTTGGAAATGGTTGCCTGTGCTGCTTCCCAATCATACATCCTTCACATAATCCTTCTTTTTCATCCAGTAGAGGCATGTCTCTCATCATCTTCTTTTGGTGTAGTAATCTCAAGGCATTGAGATTGAAGTGCCCAAATCTTCGATGCCATAGACTCGCATCACTCAGTTGAGCCACCATCGCCTTTTGTGGATATTGCCATTGAATAGGAAAATTTCTATTATTTCCCATTTTTACTTCAGCAATTTCTTGATTATTGTTCTTATCATAAATTCGGCAAGAATTTTTCTCAAAGTGCAAGGCATATCCACTTTCCATCATTTGACCAACACTTAGTAGATTTTGTGCAAGGCGTGGCACTAGGAGAACGTTTCTAATAAAGCGCGTACCTTTCTTTGTATCTACGACAATGGTACCTTTCCCCTTTGCCTCCACCAAATCGCCATTGCCCATCTTGACTTTTGTCTTGATAGAGGTGTCTAAGTCATGGAAGATGGTCTCGTTGGATGTCATGTGATTGCTGCACCCACTATCGATGTACCACTCTTCTTCTTTTGCTTCTATGGCTGAGTGACATGCGTAGAACATGTACTCCTTCTCCTTAAAATCTTCAGAATAGTTGGCCTGATAGTTTCTTCTATCTCTGCAATCTTTTTCTTCATGCCCGAACCTCTTGCAATTTCTGCATTGTGGCTTTCCTCGATAGTAGCAATCTTTCTCTAAGTGATTAGTCTTCTTGCATATTTTGCATGGTGGAAAGTTCGTCTTCCTCTCCTTGTTGTTAGAATTCCCATCTTTTTGTGGTTTAAAGTTTTCACCATTTCTCGAGTGATTCCTTTTAATGTTGAGCTTAGACTGGAAGGCACTTTCTAATGAACTTTCGTGTCGTCTGTTTAGCCTTTGCTCACGTGCTTCTAGCGACCCCATTAATTCAGTGATGGACATTTTTGATAGATCTTTTGACTCCTCAATAGCCGAAACTATTGGATCATATTTTTTCAGGGAGACTGATTAGGACCTTCTGGATTATTCTCTCGTCGGTTATGTTTTCTCCAAGAGTTCTCATTTCGTTGACTATATGTATAACCCGAGAGAAAAAATCTTTTGCCATTTCAGAATCTCTCATCTTTAAATTTTCGAGCTCTCTTCTTAAACTTTGTAATTTAATAGTTCTAACTTTCTCATTTCCTTGAAATTCCTCCTTAAGAATATCTCAAGCTTCTTTTGCCGTAGTAGCACGAATTATTCTCGGGAAAATAGTATCACAAACGGATTGTTGAAGAAGATAGAGAGCTCTAGCATTTTGCTGTTTTTGTTTCTTACGTACCTCGAAAGTTGATGCGTCGTCGCTTCCTTTTTCCGGCATGATGATTCCTTCTTCAACAATATCCCAGAGATCATGTGATTCTAGGCAAGTCTTCATACGGACACTCCAACAATAGTCATAGCTTTCTCCATTGAACATCGGAGTTGATACCGAGAAGCTTGATGTCACCATAATGCCCGCTTATGATCGAACAAGCTCCGATACCACTTGTTAGAAAATAGAAGAGGTTGTTGGTTGTATGAGTAGAATAAGTGATTTTAGTGAGGTGTAATGTAGATGATGTGTTTTAGAGGAGAGCTCTTGTCTCTAGAAAAGTAGTATTGTATTGATGTTTCTTGGTTTTTGCTTGGTTTGCAAATGAGTACAATGAGTCCTATTTATAGGAGCTAGAGGATCATTCTAGATCCTTATTAAATGCTATGATTCTAGAGTATTCTACATCTATGTCTAATTACTCTAGATTTTACATAAGAATTCTCTAGTAGAGAATTTTCTAGAATACTTTCTAGCTTTAACTCTCTAGATCATCTCTAGCCTTTTCTACATAGAATATTCTAGATAAATGCATCACTATTTAATAATTTGTGCATGGTTTTGTAAGATAAAACCACTGCTACGAAAAGAACAGTCTGTGCATATTTTCACTCATTATCTAATTATATATTAAAATAAAAATAACTTTAATTGTTAGGATTCTACATTTTTGAAAAATAAAAGTTCAATAACCTAATACAATAATATATAAGTTAATACAATAAATATTCAATGAAGAGTATATCAGGAAAAATTAATTAAACACCACTCATTAGAATTTGCTACTTCTTAATTTTCATGATTAAATTAATTTTAAAATTAAATACTATTCTAAAAAAGTGAATACAATAAATATTAAAATTTATGAATACTACGTATTAGTTATATAAGAACTTGCTACTCATTAGTTAAATTAGTGATAGCATATGAGAGGAAAATTATCGTACCCAATTCTTAATC